TAAACTTGTGGTCAATTTAGTTCCTGAACAAAAATATTCTGCAAAACTGTTCAAGTAAGAACCTGCATAAATCAGTTCAAGGTTATATTATTTGTTGACCACATATGGCTGAGACATTTCTGCTTCCTAAAAACAGAATTCTGAAACGGATGAAGAAAGAGGCAGTTCAGGTCTCGCCACACAACTGTCTAAGCAACAGGCACTACCTACACTGAGCAATAGTTAAAACCTTTACACTGCCATTTTAAACTCTGTCCTGCCCTTTACTAAACTAAACATACTTTGTCATTATTAAAAGTATGAAGGATTCCAGGTTGTGTTATTTTTTTAAATTAACAAGCCATTTTTCCATTTCAAATGAACACATTCAATATTCCAACAATTTATTAACTACAGTTAACACATTGTAGGAATGGAATGGTTGTACAGCATATGTACTACTGTATATACAGTATATGCAACGTCCAACTAAATGCTACACTGTACAATTCTAGTTGTATTTGCTTCTAGGGACTCTGAATACAACAGCAAACAGTGGATCAAACTGACGCTGATGAACGTTAACACAAGTACACCCAGTGTAAAAAACTCATGATACAAAATTGTTTAGTTTGATTTTAATTCCCATCGGGACATCTGCAGAACTATTGACCCTGTCCACAACCTGTTATTTTGGTTAGAATACGTTATATGTATTGATATGTCAAAATGTTAGAAACTAATGATCATTAAAATATCTCCTCCAAAATGTTTTTTGTGTACTACATAACAAGACCTCACTCCTTATAAATCTATCACACCCCCTGAGCTAAACCAGTCTCATCTCAGTTGAAGCATTTGTAGAAAAAAACTCCACCTGGGATTTGGCTCTTCACAGTCAAAGCCATATAGTGAAATAACAGGGCATGACTGCAGAATCAAATTCTGAAGTTATAACATTGTTCCCTTTTTGGTTACAGTCAGTTAAAGCACTTATTTTGAATATTAAAGACTTTATTGAAAGATATTGTTGAGTAAAATATCCTACTCGTCCTGTTGTACCTGGGTAGGCATTTGGTCTTCAGAAATGTTCTTACAGGAACAGTGTCGATAGGCCCTCCTGAGGATTTCTATTATAATAATGTATGGAATGACTCAACTTCACCTGAGCACTTGAAGACAGAGTAAGGAATTGCTTTCAGTACACAAGTGCACAGTAAATATAGAACTTAAAGTATGTACAATAATTGTTAGCCTTTACCTGTTACTCACAAGAGCAAAGTTAAACAGTCTTAAATTTATTAGTAATATCACCTGCATCACTTTTTCGGAGAGGCATATACTGTATATATATTATGATGACAGAATAATATTCTAGGACTCAAGATGTCTTTTTTTCCTGAAAGATCTTAAGACTGTTTTGTCTTAGTCAAAATGCACTGCCACCATTGTTGTGTTTTTGTCTCTAAGCAGTAATTTTAGCTCTTTGGTACTGTATCTTTCCATTCTCCTTTAATAAGACTTAGCTTAATCCAAATCATACTAATGTCTGTTGGACCTCCTGACCAGCTTGTGGCTTGTTACTGGGGACAGGGTTTGAGTGGGGAGTGTTGTGAAGATGGTGTTGTACAAGGATCTCAGATTCCAAATACTAAAATCAATTTCCACTATCGTAAGTGAAGGGTTTACAAATGTATATGTATATATTATTGTATCAACTTATCGATACAAAGAGATCTAATATGTTGTACCGCGGTCCATATTTCTCCCAGAGGGCATGTCTTTTTTTTTTCCGGAATAATGGAATACAGTAACTGTGATGGATGTTTCAATGCTCTTTTTTCTCATCATTATTTTTTCTCGTTTTTTTTATACATGATGATTCAATTTTAATTTAGCTGCGATGCAGGTTTTTTTTTTTGGTGCAGTGTTAAGCATTCAGCTTACAGGATGTTTGAAAATATGTTTATTTATCTAAAAATATTCTGCCTTTTTTTTTCACGCTGTAAAAAGGAACACTATTTAAAGTGAAAAAAACCCTCCCTGACCCGTTAACCACTGAGGGGGGCTTGATGTGAATAATCTGAAGCACGGCAGCACATTAAATACTTGCTAAAGTTTTTCTGTACAAATGAAGGGGACAGCTAATGTGCAGAAGAAAAGATGGCATGGGCTTATTCTGAATGCTTATTTTCCTGTAACCCTTGATATAGGTAATTAATTTGGCAAGATTATTTTGCATTTAGATTTTTTATTATGTACCTATTTTAAATAAAAATATAGTAGATTCAGTTTGTTTGTTTACAGTACTATACAGTATATCTATATATCTATTTATCCAGGGTATCTTAATGAGTTGTAAATCGCAGTTTCTGGAGACACATGAGTTTGAAAACCGAAAAGGTATTGGATGTAATGTTTTAAAATGTTTTCCATCCAGGTGAAAACTTTTGACATCGTCCCCACCGTATCAGATGCTAAACTAAATGTTTTTATCAATATTCTTCCAGAATCCCGTTGTAGAGAGCTGACAGTCTCTCTCTCTCTCTCCCAATTTTTTTTAATGTTAAAACCAGGAAATAAAACTATTGAATGGAGTCAGTGATGTAAAGTCATAAAACTGCTAGATCTACTGTAGTTTTTTTAACTTTAGTTATTAATTTCTCAACACATCTAACATTAGTGTTAGTAAGATATGAGAGAACCAGTCTTTAACTGTTTAATTTCAGTATTATTTCTGCGATAAGGTATAATAAATAATGGAAACCTGAATATTTTCTGGACTATGACATTTCTGGAGGGAAAAAAACATAGAGATGTACAGTATATTTAATATATCTGGCTAATGTTCTGATCAGAGGCACTGAATTTGTGATAGTATATTGCCATGGGAAACCTTATGTTATGTATCTTCTACTACTATGTGAAAGAGCTTAATGTGAACACCGTAAGTAGAGTATATCCACTTACACAGTAATGAACCAATGAACAGTAATATGGAAATTAAGAACTGTTTACATAGTAAATAAAAGCTTGTAATATTGTTCTTTAATTCTGTGCATAACACAGTGTTAATTTTCACATAGAGTGGGGTGTTTGGTATACATTTATCAAGAAAGTCTGATATATACTGTACTGCTATATATGTAATTCACTATAATAATACTGTATTGAGAAGACTTAACAAAGCAACAGTGGATATTCAGAAATTTAGCTTTTTGTCATTTTGGAGATACTGTATGCGCTATCACATGCTTTTTTAATTCTATTTTTTAAACAATTTACTTCTTACATATTTTTATGAAGTACTGAGCTGCATCACATTCAGGGCTTTTAGTGCATGAACTAAATAGCGCATGTTTCTTGTCTGTCTCTGCCGACGAGCCCCACTCCAGGTACATGTTATGTTTTGCTTTTCATCAACATTGAAATCAGTTCTGAAATGGCTCGTTAATTACTAATCAGAGCTTTAACCAAGATTGCATGTAAGATGTTCGTTTGTACAGTAAATGCTCCCTTTTGTCCTATAAAGGTAAAAAACACTTAGGGTAGAATGTAGCTAAATGAACAAGCACGTCTGTTTTTAAAAAAATAAGCTCTTGTTTTTTAAAATAATGGTTTACTTATTATAGAGCCAATGATCAATAAAAACAGAAGGATGTATACTTTGTAGGCATTATGAAAGCCTAGGCAATCTTCATAAAGTGGACTAAAGCTGATCAAAATCACCAAGCTTTTTCTAATTCTTCTTTGTGTTTTAGCGTCTCTTTAATTTTGGCATTTTTCTGCTAAACATATCAAGAATCTGCATTAAATTTGATAGAAAGGTTTCCATTTTTTATTTTGAGGCAAGATCATCTGTTGATCCTGCACATCAATTCCTTGCAATGAATACATTGACAATGGTATTTTAGAATTTGTGATTCAAGAAGTTGGGTAAAGAAAATGACAGTGTGTTGGAACATGAGAAGCTGTTGATCCTTACTAGGACTACAAGACACTGGAGACCAGATAAGTGAGTAAAATAACAATGACAAATACAAGTTCACAGTCCAGCAGATTGCACCTTTCCTAAAGGGTATATCAGAGGATTCTTTGCACTAACCCACTTTTTAAAGCAATTAGATGTCAGGAAGAACATAATGTAAATTAAGAAGGAAAAGGCTACGACTTTGTCTGAATGCAGAAATATTCTTCCACACAACCAAGAAGATCTGTCTTAACCTTTTTTTTTTCAATGTGATGGACAAACTCCCTGACAAGGAGTGGGACTGGTACAGAGATCTAATGTACTCTTATTTAAATATAAGATCACCTGTTGGGTAAGTATGAAAACAATCACACAACTTGTAAAAGTGTGATAGTTCTGTCAATTTTGTCCCATCTTATTATAAATTCTGTTTATAATATTATTAATAATATATGTGTAGAATACAAATCATCTAAGCTTACACTATATATATATATAATTTAGTTATAAAATAATTTGTATAAAAATAGGTAGCCTTTTTAACAGTTGGAATTACATTGTATAGTTTTTTGATAGTGCATCTTACATTTTCTAAAACATTTTACTCCTTACCTGCTAGGAATTTCTTTCAGCCAGTGTTAAAGTAAACTCGATTAATTTTACTCTGTGGTTCACCATGCAAAGCTGGGTGTTTACAAAGCTTCTCATTCAAAAGTGTCATTTAAACTCCTTTCTTTAGAAGAGAGTAAAGAGCACCCATTAAAGATAAAAAGAAAATGACAGTATAAAATCTGATGAAAGGCAATGATGGCTGATATCCATTTTCTTTGGGTTTTTTTCCAGGTCAATAACTTGTGTATTAACATGTCAAAATATGACAAGTGTCATTTTGGAAATTAAAAGTCTGTGTTAATCCTTCATTGCAACAGGCAAAGTATCATTTATGTTTTATACAAATTAGTATTTGTCTTAAAATTGCAAATGTTCTTCTTATTAAGATTAAATCAATGAAAAGTATTTCTGACTTTTCTTGTCTCCACATATTTTTCAGTAGAAAGTTAGGAAGAGATCCACACTGGCTTCGGGGACACCAGACTCCATGTGTCTGGAGAAAGGAGACTGCCATCTTGCAGGTAGTTTCAGTAACTTTGTTTCATTATTGAATAAATAGGTAAATATAATGACAAAAATCTCTCTCTATATTCCCACATTATTGCTTTTTGTCTGTTCGCATGTATGATTTTTATTTGTATGTCCCAAACTATAAAAAGGGAAATGAGCAACAGGTCTTTCTAAAATTCTTAATGAAGCATCCCTATTGCAGGGACAGCATTGAAATTAATGCAATTCTAAATTGTTTTGAAATCTCTTCATTGAGGGCAGAACTTCAGGTATTATTTCCCTGCTGTAATGTTATTAATCTGGAAAAGCTGATACACATAAATACTGACATTCAAAAACAAAAATAAAACCGTTTTATTCCCAATTTCACAACAAGGCTTACATGTAGTGGACACATAAAAACAAAAAAAACCCACATAAAAACACATAAGAACAAAGATTGTGAACAAGAAAGAGGAGGCCGCAGGCCTGTCTCGGCCCAGTCTAGTCCTTCAGGAGCTAAGTTAATCTTAAAACATCAGTCTGTCACTTCTTGAAGGAGATCTATTGTAGAAAATATAAATACAAAGAAATTCAACAGATAAATACACAAGAACCAGCAGACAAAATGTGTGATTTTCTTAAGCAACAAAGTATTTCAGAAGGCTGCTGGGCAAAGAATGAAAACCCTCCAGACCATACTAATGTTCTTCAAAGTGTAACATTATGATTTTCTTTTCTTGATATTTCTGTCTCCAAGCTCCCTAAATGGCAAACAACCAAACAAAAAAACATGCTTCTATTATAACATTGCCAGAACATTGTCCTGTGTCCCAAGTTATTGTTTTGCTAAACTGAATTAAGAAAGGAGTTGTTCGGAACACTTAGCATTTATATGCTACTTAATGATAACGTCAGAAAGAGTGTACTGGTAGTTTCTCCAGCAAGGGACAGCTAATTTTAAACGCGAAAACAAAAATGACTGGCAGGAACTCTGCTGGCCAATAAAGAGGAATCTATTTATAGGGTACTAATGGTAAATTTAAGTTGTAAACAACACTAATGATCAAATTATTGATGGTCCAAAGGATTGGGTGAGTAACCTTCTGTATATTAGGTAGAACTATAGAACATCTGGATTCAAGTTTAATTTACTAGCCAGTCATGAACAACAGGAAATGATTGTTAAGGTAGATAAACTACTGTTCATGTAAAATAACTGCATACCTTTTCTAGAATGTATATTTATTAAGATATTGCTTCAGTATATAGCATTTTAAAGCTGTACTTAAAGGGTATTTCTGATGTACTGTATCAATATGTGTTAAATTTCTTTTGAAGTACTCTATTATGTGATATAATAATCCACTAAAAAATCAGAAATACTTTTGTGCAGATCTACAGTTTTGTGGAAAACTACAAATACCTCTGCAGGAGCATGTGAATCTTTAGTTTATTGTGAATAAATGATTTTTTATTAAATGTAAAAACATGAATGAATAAAGTCTCACAGGGCAGCTGTGACTCAACCAGTGAATTGACAGGATTGAAGGAAAACGAAAACGGGCATTAATTAATAAATGAGAGAAACTTCTTTTTCACTTCCTTCGCTAACTGATGAGTCAAATCAGTCTAGAGAACTGTAAGCTGGTTCCTTAGAGTAAAATTTTGAAACACAGACTGGTAGACCAAAAGACAGATGGAGTTTGTTGTTGCATTCTCCTGGAATAACGTGGGTAGGAACAGGAGAAAGTGCCGATACACAGCTGCAATCTGAGCAAGGTATTCCAAATCACAAAAATGTACAGTACTGTATGTGAGCATCTTAAAGTCCCTCTCCTGTTTAAAGGGAAATGATAAGTCTTCCGGTGGTGAGGACCTGTGTTGCAGTTTTTAAGATAGAAAGAGCCATTTTCCCCCCTACCAGAACCAATGCATCTGATGTGGTTTTAGTGAAGGCAGCAAAGGCTGAAGAGTCCAGTCCTGTCCCTGTTTGTGCTGCAACAGTACAGCTCCATCACAAAGGCTCAGTGACAGCAGGGCAGTGCCCACAGGGAGTGTAGCAAAGTGTGTTTAACTGAAAAATTCAGATCCAGGCACATGTACCAATCACTGCTGCCCTCGCCCTGCTGTCTCCTGCTGATTTTACACCTTAAAAAATTTCTTTAAAATTTTAAAGGTGAAAAAAAAGCCAGAAGGGCCAGGAGCAATGAAAACAAAGACTGGATCTCAAAACATGTGATGGTACTCGACGCCAAATTGCAGATCTAGAGTCCTTAATTGAATCTGAATAAAACTGGCTCCTCTAAGCCAATATTCTGAAGTATGGCAAACAGGGGTGATACAATTCCAACTTCATTAAAGACCACTGTATTGTTAGAAATGGGGAAAAAGCAAACCATGCTCATGTTGAGAAAGACCTGCAGTTACTGAAACAGCCAGTGCAAAATGAACACGCAATTTTACAGTGTCTTAAATTACTACTGTAACTATTGGAGCAGCATGATCTCTGCCCACCTTATAGTATTTGTTTTGCATAGTGAGTTAAAATGTTTGAAATCCCATTAGAAGAAGGCCTGTCATGTTTTTTCATGTCTTAAAAAATACCTATTATTTAAAAAATGTATCTTAAATTGTCACCCTTGCAGTATTTCATTCACAGTTATGAAAAAATGTTTGGACCAAATTTTGAATACTTTAACAATAAAAATCATAAGAGCCGTCAGCTATCAGTCTGTGTTTGTTTTACACTGCAGCATATTTTGGTCGTGACCACGACATCGTGAGTATATGAAAGTGTTGTATGACAACAGAGGCGCTGTATGACAGCAGGCTACAATAGATCCGAGTCACTGCACAGCACTGGAGTAGCATATCACGAGTGATGTAACAAGCTATCAAGTTCAAGTCTTTAAATACTAGAAAAGACAACCAATTTGCATTTAGGCTATCAGCTATTGATCTGATATTGACAATATTGATATGACACTTATATCTTTCAATGCACTGAATTTAGAATTTCAATCATATGGTTATTCAATAACACCCTAGAATGTAGAATTTCAATACACTTCAATAAACGTTAATACAAGTACAAAAAGTAATCTTTTTGAGCTCATTTAGTGTTAAGAAAAAATCTGTAAAACTTAAAGTGTTTAAGCTGAATTATTGTACTCTCTTAATTGAAGGAGTAATTTTTTCTGGTCTTTGATTTTGTTTTGTTTGCAGGGGATGTATGTGGCCCAGTCAGGGGTTGAAAAGACAAAAACATGACACTCTCTGGTGAAATAAACCCAGATGCCAGCATCAGGTAAATAGCAAGGGGAAATTCTTCACGTTTCAGACAACAGGCCATGCTAAACATGTCAGTGCTGATATTGTCATTCTGGTTAAAATAATATATAATGTAATTATGATCTTCAATATGGTCTTCAGTACTCCACTTCAAGTATTGTATGGTAGATGAAACAGGGTTCAAAATAGTATATTTTCTTTTTGTGAAAGGTCTTTATAATTTTACAAATTAAGTCAAGCCACTTTTCTTCTAGGAGTTAAAGTTTTTACATAAAAAAAAGATATTTGAGATTTTGGGCAAAATGCCCTTTTTATCATGATTCCAATGAGAAAATAATAACATTTCATATGAAATAATTTGCCCCAATTTCCTAATGATAAGCAAATACTGAAGACATACCAAAGTAAAGGTCCGGTGAATTATACATCTATAAAGACTATTTGGTAAAGTGACTAAGAAAAGAAACAGAATAACTTTGCCATTAGGGAATGGTAAGAATATACCCTATAACACAAACCTTTGGGTTTGCTCAGTATGTTGGGTAACTGATAACACATCTCTTCTTTTAAAAAGACTTTACAAAAATATTAAGTGACTGAATAGACAAGCTTGTTATTGAACAACTGAATGTGTTTTAAAAAAGACACAAAATATCTTTATAATTCGTATTGCCAGGAGTTCACTATAAGGTACCAAAATTGTGTTGATTACAGTAAAACTTTGGTGAACATCAAATAAATTTAAAAAATGATAATCTTCTGTCAAAGATATAAGATTGTTTTGCATATTTAGCATGCCATCTTCTGTAGTGATTCATCATAAAAAGACCTACATTTAGAAACGTTGTTCCGTATTAGGTAATGCAGACTTTCCACAATGCTTTCAGACAGAGTTCAAGTTCACAGATACCACTGTAATAAGTAACAACCAGAAGAGCAGTCATAAAACTCTATAGTCTTAAATTTTCCATTAACAACATGCAGACAGAATATCCAGAGGGTGTGTAGTTTTCACTATGTTTCTGGGTTTTTGTGAAGACTGTTCAGTTGCTTTGTGTAGATGTTATTATTAATATTTAGATAATTTAGTTGTTTATATAGCTGTGGTCTTAACCAGATGGTGTCCATTCAAAACAATTACTGACATTTACAGCAATATTTACAAAGTGCAAAATGTATGTTCAGTAGCGGAAAATTAAAGTTTAAAATAAAACTAACATAAAAGTATTAAGAAAAACAATATGAAGTACAGTAATTATTTTAGTTAATTCAAACAAAACCTTCATAGTTCTTCACAGAGACACTTGGAGTAGATGGCATGCTTCTTCTTCAAATTAAAATGGTATATTTTTGTTTTCTGCACATTTATTTGGAGAAAAGATGTCATGATTATAGAGAATGCTGATACTGTACTTAGTGTATGTGATTTTGAACCCATTACAATATAACATTTTTGTTATAATAAAAAATTGGATGGTACTGATGTCAGATATATTGATCTTACAACTATATATATCAGTCTCTATTTTTATTTCAAGTTATAAGAAAAAACGTTACTGAGGATAATAGTTGCTCTTTTATATATAGTATTCTTTTAGCAGACAGAATTAATTTGCTTAAAACACTTTTTTTTTAATTGCAGGGAAAAAAATCTTAAAAAACAACCTTCAGTGTTGTTGGGATGATTTTATAAAGTAAAATAAATATCATAACTGTTTCTCTACAGCTCTCCTACTTCAAAAGTAACTTTTAACCACTTAAACACCAGGGACCATTAAAATAAGTGACAGGTTATTATTTGTAACTTTGATGTTGGTAGTAGCTTCTACCCAGTCATGTAGCATTTGGGATATTCATATGCTGGATCTATTCTGGGGCCCTGCCTGTGGTATTGGTACTGTACATGTTTAAATAGACATGTTACACAAGTTCTGCAAAAAACTGAGATGAAACGAGCAGAATGGAACCCAGAGAAATTAACGGGCATGTTATATAAGTTTAAAACAAGAGTCACGGAAGGAGAGTGAAAAGTGGAGGCTGAGAAGTCCAGTAAATTGTGTACAGCTAGTTAGCAGAACCAGCTCTGCACAGCCACGTGTAAAATGCTCATTGATGGAGGGGTCTCAGTGCTTGTTTCTGGGTGCTTTTCATGTAGGAGGTGCTAGGGCTTCTAACACTAATTTTTTTATTTCTTTGCACCAGTGTTTGTGCAGGAGGGCCTAGGACTGCTATGAACTGCAGTGAGAGGCACAGACAGAGAAAGAAGCTGCAGAAGGTTTAGAACTATTCTTTAGCAAAAAGTGTGCAAACGCAGTTTACACGTCTTTCAGTATACTGTACTGTATGTAATTATTTTCTTATTTTGTTGATTTTGAAGAATACATTCAAGGGGTAACATAATTTAAGCATGCAGTAAAAGATTTTAGCATGAGAGCATTTTAATGTAGGCATATGAGACATGGCATCTTCTTTTTATTTTATTAATGGGATCCCTGTTGTTCAGACTTAGTCTGCAGCTGAATTACCTGACATGACATGAATTTTGTAAGGGGTGCTGTATATTTTCCGGCCTCCAAGTTCAGGCGGTAGTTAATGAAAGAAAAGCATGCAGTTGATATAGAGGGTGATAGACAAATGCATGAAGTGAAACATGGAAGATTTCATTTAGTGCATTACATTGTGTATTATTATGTGTGCATTTACAGTACATACAGTAAGTATGTGGTCATATACTGTACCATAAGGGGTTGATCCCTGGCCCAGCACAGTTGCTAAGCGGCACGTCTGATCAGATGAGCAGTTTGTAAAGACTTGGAACACATGGGTTTTGTTCTGGTTAATAAATTAATTGGTTTCATGTAAGTCGGAAAAATGGCCAGCTCTGGTCAGAGCTGGATCCCCCAAACTGCTTTATTGAACAAATAACCTCTTTCAGTGGTCAAAACGAACTTGCTCCCGGTGTTTCCAAGAGTGTAGTTTATGGGGAACCTGTGAAACGTGCGAGAGCAGGACTCTCCAGATCCAGAGTGGTCCAGGCTCGTGTATATTAAATCACAGGGCTGGTAGAAAAAACAAGGGCAAAGTCCAGCAAAAGGAAAGGACAGTAGGGCAGATATTTTCACCACTTAAAAGTAACCCCAATCTGAACCCTTAGAAACTTTTCATGGGTCATTCTTGTTTGTATGACTTTTACTGAATGGAGAGCTATAATGTCCATAGACAGTGCATTGTTTTATGTTTTGAAAATACCATAAATATGAAAACAATAGGTTTTGCCTGAACCTTGTTGAAGTTACAATTCAAAATGAGACTTGTCCTAGTTAATATATGAATGATTTAAAAAAAAAGAACTGCATACAGACTAATCTACAGTCTACTTACCAATAATATTCAATATATATTTTTTAAAATATATGTCTCCTGGTAGCTTTAGATACTTCTGCTCAAGTAAAAGTCTGTCATTTTAATTAATAAGAAAAGGGGAGGGAACTAGGGGTTCAATTAATGTTCTGTTTCATGTATCTGCGAAAACTGGTCTGTTTTTAATGTATGCAATAAACGCTGTAGAAACATAACCCTTCAAAAATGACCTTACGTAAAAATTAATATACTGTATAATATATACATTTAAAAAATCAGATCTTAAATTAAAATGTGATATTTTGCCTGATAATTGTAATGTTTTTGAAAATTGTCCTATTACCAATACGTTATACTTTCCTTTCAGAGAAAACTTTCCAGCGATGCAGTCCTTACTGGAAGGTGATATCTGACTGTCAGGTAAATTTTATTTTTACCGATTTATTTCAAAGGGTTTAACAGTACAAACCAATTTAATTGCTTCATAGCTCCCTAGTCTGTTTCTTCAACTTACCTGAATCAGGTAGCGATATTATATACAGTATTACCTCAATATAATATTTTTACAAAGACTTTACAAAAACATTAAATTACTGAATTGACAGGCTTGAATGAAAGAACAACTCCTAAAATAGAATTATTTTCTTTCAACAACACAATTCTAAAAAAAGACCGTCTCTTACGACAACAACCTTAGAGTCTGTAAAGCAGGCCGACAAATTAAGAAAAATATGTGTCAGCTAAGGTACAGTAGCTACATTTTTAAGACTCTGTTTACAGTTTAAAAAGCTGTTGAATTAATTTGTTTCAGAAAAACATTGGCTGTCATTTTTAAAATTTGAATGTATCCGCCTGCTTTAAAATCGCCCCAGAATGTGTAACTTGCCTGGATTCTTCAAATAAAAGTTGCTGTTTTAAAAGATTTTTTAATAGAAAAGGAAAGAGGTTGAAGAGGGTAAATATTTTATTTGAAAATATATATTGTTTAAGCGTAGACAAATAATACAGTTTGGTTTGACTTTATTATGCAGACATTTTAATTAAAGGAAAAAAATGTCGTATTGCTTACAGACGAGAAATAAGAAAGTAGAATAAAGATGGACTGTAATGAATGTAGTTAAAACCACACACTGCAGAAGGTGGTCTGTCAAACTATATAAGAAAAAGCTTACTAAATAGTGCGCCCATAAAGATTCGTTTTTTACCAGAATTTTGTTCGGGTTTCAGTAATGCTTTATTCAATTCTATTATACAATATACTATTTGTAATAACTGTGAGAGGGCTGTCTTACTAATCAAACCCGGATCATATAAGTGCACGCTCTGAAGACACTCGAATAAACGTCAGAAGTTGACGCCAAGTCATATCCACAACTTTGGGCTGTTTTGCTTTTCGTGTTGGAAGAACTTGTATTCCAGAAAAAGTGAAACATAATAAATTCGCTGTCCAGTGTGTGAGTGCTGATCCGACTACAGGACGGAGCGTCGCAGAGCAACATCAATGCATCAATACTAATAGTGACGTGGATTTAAAAAATGGATCATTTACGTTGGAATCCACCGTCTGAATTTAGAAATGTCGATCTGTGGGGTCTTCTGGCCTGTTGTGGAATGGATGGCGAAAAAACATTGAAATGAAAAGTCTGACATGCTGTAACATGTGCCGACTTTAAAAAAAAAATCTATATATTTAGATTATATGCATAGTTTTGCCTTTTATTTTTAAATTTGTTCCTCTAAGGCTTTATTACAGTAGGTCTTGCATAAAACTGAATTTTATTGTCTCTAGTATGTTGGAGGAGTAGCTCAAAACGTTCAGTGCTAACAGGCTTTTGCAATTTTGAACGCAGAATGTTTTATTGAAAAAACGTTACTTTGGGAGTTCTTTACGTGTAATAAGTCTCATACCTATTCTGTAAAATTGTGAAAGAAATGTATTTTTTTGCAAAGGGGTGAATGTGTTGTTTGTGCATTTGGATTATTTTTCATGAATTCTAAAAATAAAGACAAATGTTGGTTCCTGAAAAGGCGTTTACTGCCATGCTTCTCAAAATGAATAGCGAATTGCGATGTTCTATATTAAAATACAATTGTAAATGAATATAAAAGTGAAGTGAAGACGTTTATTTAAAAAGTAAAATTATGCAACTATTTGATTAAACATTAAGCATTTGAACAACATAGAATTTTACTAAGCGTTGCTCGAGGCATTATATAAAAAGAGGTAAAATGTCGTTTTTACAATGTTAGGTTTAATTTCACCTTTATTAATGCTTACTAGATATCCTTTTCTACTATTTAAATATACAAATGCATTGTGCAAAATTATATTTGTGCTTTACAATACAGTTATGAAATGCTAAAAGAATGCAGGTGTAAGAAACTGAAAAATATATTTGACCAATACGTTGCTATTATTGTATTTGTGAAATCTTAATTCTGAATGCAGTGTTCTTCAATTATCCCTGTGTGAGAATGTAACCATCTAGGCAGAAAAACGATTAGCTTATGTATGAATACTAAAACCTATCTTGCAATAAATACTTACTCACAACATCCTAAAAACATGCATTTTGCTTTTTAAGAGGATTACACAATACACTGTACAGTTATGTTTTTAACATATTGCCTTTTTTCTGCATTAGACAGGCTGTAAAATGAGGTGTGTTCTTCGTGAATCAGAGCAGTGAGGAAACGTGTGCGGTGCTGTGTGAGTGTGTTCGAGGGTGTGTGTGTCTCTCTGTGTATATATGTAGTGCATATACAGTACATGACATATTTTTAACTCGGATATTTTGGAAAAAAGTGGTATAAAATCTGAAGGCTTTAATTTAGTATTGAATTAAGTTCTGGATCTTTTCTGTGATCTTGATGACATATTAAAATTAAATCATACTGTAATAATCTGACATCGATTCAGCTAGGGCATCTTACTTGTTGTTGTTGTTGTTGTTGTTGTTGTTGTTGTTTTAAAAAAAAACGTACATCATATATTCCAGATAAAGTATGTTGGGGGTAAAAGTAAAGTTCCTTAAATAAGGTTATTTTTCAGCTCTGATGAATTGTTACAGTCGAGGGAAGGATCTTCACGCTAACAGGCAAAATTGTTCCAAGATCAAGCTCTCAAGACTGATGTTTGTTTTAATATGATGTATAAATTATCCGTCTGTTTTTTTGACAGAAAGCAGCATCCTCGTGTGTTCTGGATCTGTCATGTTTGTTTGTATTGAAACAAGAAAATATGTGGACATTTCTTTGACAAAGTTGTTTTTTAAACTCAGCTATCAAGAATAAACGGCTCCATTGTGTTCTGGTTTTAAAATGACTTGTGGTTTGCCAATATTTTGTGTTTTAATTCCATGCACACTCTGGTCAGCTTGCTCGGTCAGGAATGGGTTAATGGCGTTGGTATACAGCTTGCACTCAGACAAAATTCTCAGACACCTTGCTGTTCTTAACAAGCGCCAATAAACCGAAATCATAGATTTGTTTGCTTTTTAATACATACAACACTATTTATTCCATATTCTCTGAATGCTGTTTATGTAACTACGATGCTTCCGCCTTTGAAACGTGTTGCTGTTTTCGCGAGAGTTTGAGGGAGACGGCACCAATCAGGCGATTTTGCTCTGCTTTATGGGAATTATAGTCTTTTTTCAGCCTTTTTTTTTCAGAAGACGCAGCTACACCCGCTGACAGGAAAGGAATGCTTTTAAAGGAGCGACACGGTAAGGTTTCGCAACAGAAACCGCAAGCCCTTCCATCTGTGTCGAAATGTGAGGTTTAGCAACAAAAACACACAGTGCAAACCATGAAACAGGAGGATATATTGTCCATGGGTGAAACTCACTTCTGTGGGCGGGACAAAGAGAGTGCCTGATCTCCACAGATCACACTGGTTGGCGGTGGCACCTCGGTCGTTAATGATTGGCGTGTCTGCGAGCCTGTAATCTCTTTGAAAAGGCGCGCAAGGGGGCGGGGATAGAGTGGACTTTCCGGGGACCAATCATATCAGCGTTCCATTAATGACAGCTCCCCATTCATAAAGTGGCGTGGGCAGAGCAGCACAGCGCGTGGGTTCGAAGGCTCAGTCCTGCGCTCTAGAACGGGGAGCGCGGCCAATCGCGGGGCTGCGGCGCAGGCTGCTGTCATTGTCATCCAATCACCGGCCGCCCCAGCGCAGCCCTGCTCCCTCCCCTTCCCCGCTCTTGAAAGAGAACCGTATGAATGAGCGCGTCCTTTCGGAAATTGACAGTTGAGTCGAGCAATGGCCGGGCGGATTTCCTTGACGGACGTGCGGCTCGTCCAATCATAAGCGGAGGTGGGCGGGCCCGAAGTATAGGAGTAGGAGGGGGCGTAGCCTTGTCGCTTCTGCTAGACGGTGGAGAGAGAGTGTGTGTAGGTACTGCAACCTGCGCTTCGCTGGGTCTGGCCGCGGTTTTTCTTCCTGCTCCACGTTCCCCAGTCTGAATCCCTCCGGCACGGTAGTGGACCCCAGAGCCGCCGCCATGCAGTCCTCGCTGGAAGCCTTCCTGCGCCTGTCCGAGGCGCCCCTGTACTGGGTCGGGGCGCTGACCGCGGCCTGGGTGTCTCTGCGGCTCGCCTGCCGGCTGCTCGCCGGGTTCCGTGTGTGGGTGGTGGGCAACGGACAGCAGGTGGGGCCTCGGCTCGGGAAATGGGCAGGTGAGCGCCTTCCTTCGCGGGACCCCCCCGTTCAACCCCCCTCCCCACCCGCCTCAGCAGCGTGAAAGCTGCCCGTGTGTAGAGAAACAGGTAGAAGCGTGCCCCTGTGTTGCGCAGCGGCGGCTGTGGGCGCACCGAGTCGGTTTCTGTCCCTGCCGGTGAAGGGTGTTGGACACTGGCGCGCCGGGGGGAGTGCCGCTGGTTCTGGGGCTTTTGAAATCCGGTGCCAGCTCATTACAGCAGCAGCAGCCGCCCCGGCGCGCAAGGCACTGGGTCAGAGGTGATGGTCTCAACTGCGAGTCGGGCGCGCTCCGGGCTGTGCGTGGACGTGCAGCCGGGCGAGGGCGGGGGCTCCTCTGCGGCCCGGGCCGGTGACCTGTGTGCCTCGGCTGATGCGGTGCCGACGCCGCTGTTCTGCTCTCGTCCGGCACGGCGGACTTCGCCGCTGAAACACATGTGCTCGGGGGGTGGGTGCTGATGGCCACTGACTGTTTTCGCGGTGTTGAGAGCCGCTGGCAAGTATACCGTGTTAACTGCACGTCAGAAGCCGAAAGAGGACGGTCCAGCATGGGTTCGTGGCGGACGAGAGTGAAGTTAGACGAAGTTGGATAGTAAGCTGAGTTGTCTTTGCAGGGGGTGGACGGTGATCCGTCTGAAACGCCCCTGTGCTCAGTGCTTGGAAGGCAGGTCAGGTGGTGCCGGGGGTCGCCAGCCAGCCCCCCACACCCGTGCTGCCGGGGGCCCGTGTACAGCGCGCCAACCCCGGGACCCTCCGCGTCCTTCTCGCTGAAGGAATGCGTGACGCAAATCCAGGCCAAGGAGTTAATCCCTTTCAAGCGCACCTCTGATTCACTGCTCAGGAAGCTCCCCAGCAGCGTGCTTGCTCAATATTGGGGTGGGAAAAAAAGTGACGTGAAGGGTGTGTTTTGTCTTGAGTGTCGGCCTTTGCTCCTAAAACTTTGAGTCCCTCCCTGTGGTCTCTTTTGTTTCTAGAAAGATTTCATTTCTAATGTGGCACTGCTATTTGTTAGGAAGGAACAGTATGAAACCGTCCAATCATTTCTTCTCCACATTCAAAGTACAAGAAGAGCCCACCAGGCCGCCCTGAGACTTCAGTGTGCTCAAAGCCACTTACAATCGGCTGGTGTACTGCGTTTTGTAATGGGCTTGGCTCACAGTGTGATTTGTCATCCTGCTCCAGCTTGTTGTGCCTGTCCTGGCTCAACTGGGCTGTTTGGTTTTTGGAATCAGTTGATAATTCTGCATTGCAAACCTGTACTGCAGAGAAATCGCAGCGTCTGAGGCAAGATGGAAACAGAATTTAGTTTTGAAATCAGCATAACATTACAAAAAAAAAAGATTTGAGTGTCATCCTTAAGTTAATTCCAGGTTTAAAAAAAACTTATCGTGCCTTATAAGAAGGAAGGGGCGTCTGCTGCAGTGGGGGGCAGGTGTGGCCGTCGCGCTCCGGGAGGACCTGAAGTTCCTGCAGCGCAGGTCCCTCTGGCTTGGGCGAGCGGAGAGGAACCCGATGGGACAAAGCGGCATCTGTGCGAACTATGGCAGGAATGCGGGAACTCATCTCGAGATGAACCGTTCAAGGATATGGACACAGGTCGCCGCTGCCGGCTTTTCCAGCTTAGGAATGCCCCTCTTAAGAAATAGTTCTTGAATCTGGAGAAAGGACAAAGCCCTGATGCTCGTCCTGTTAAATCCTCTAGCCCACCCCTCTGTTTACTGTGCCTATACTGTATATGCAGTTGTATGCCAGTATGCAGCGTTGATGACGAGGGACGTTGTCATGTGGGCCTGTTGATCTCTTCAGGGCTCTGCAGTAAAACGAGCAGCTTTGGTACCAAGGTAGCGCCCCAAGCATGAAATGAAGCTGATAGTTCTGCCCCTCACTGTCCATTGACTGAAGCAGTTGTCAGAGGCAATGGGAATGTAGGATTGATGAGGGGAAAAGCTCAGTGGCTTTATACTTCCTTTGGCAGTTTGCTATGGCAGTGCCTTCGATCATGCATTTCGTAATCGGGAGTCTGTTTAGAGTTCACTGATCTCCAGGAGACCAGTGCCCAGTGAGTGCTAGTTGTGGCCGAGACCCCGACGCTGAACCCTGCTCCCCTGGAACACCGTAGTCTTCATTGCAGTCGCTTTCATGATGTAACGCTCACGTGAGGGTACAGAGTGCTTCTCAACCGATATCTCGCGGAAATAAAAATCCTAGTTTTTTTTAACAGGTAAATGGGTTATGAAGTGCAACTAACAGGAATATTGTATGGAATTGCATGGAATATCCTTATGGAAGGATAACTGATTATTTGTTGACTTTTTTTAAAACCTCCTAAAATAGAGCAATATCTTTCAAAGGCAGCCAGCTTGGCCTAGGAATTTTCATTAGGCCCCAAGAGCTCTCTACCAAGCCTGTTCTTTCTCACATTCATAGTCTCTGCTATTGAGAGTAGGTGTTTCCAGTCTTTGAAGATTGTGAAATGTCCTCATTCCTTTAATTCAGCTCTTAATTACTTCAGTTGTAAGCAGGTTCTGTCTGAAATTCAACTTTGAGTTTGAAAGAGCCTGCAGAGAGCCTCTGTTCTCCAGGGAGTTACCAGTCCCTCACTGAGCAAATGCAGGATTAACAAGCAAGCAAGACTCTAGAAGAGAACACTAAACACTAAACTGTTTTACTGTAGTTTAATTCAAGAACTAAATTAAAGTCTGTTTTCATATTTTTTGTGGCATTTCCAGTAGTAATCCTGAAGCGTTCATGCCTGAATTTTCCCATGTGTTTTGTAGTCCTTAACATGTTCAAGCTGCAACAGTATCTTTTTATTTAATAAAGAAACAGCTTTCGGTGTTTGAGTAAAGTCAGTAGACCTTTTATCTCTTCTCTTTCTCTCCCTGTGCCTGAAGACGTTCACAAATCGGAAAAGTCCCTAAAGGGGGGGGGGGGGGAAACAAAACTCTGCTATTGGGCACAGATGTTGAGAAACGGAAAAACTCATAGCATCATGGGAAAGGAGCTATAAATGGGAGTTCAACCTCGTGGCAATGGATACTGTCCTGTGAGCATTGCTGAATGTGGACACTCTCTTCAGAGCGATTGTCCTGTGGTTTTTGGCCTAGACGCGGGCGTGGTCTGGATCTGGATTGTAGGCCCGGGATCAATTTTGAAACTGGTTTGTTCCGAAATTTAACATTTTTGTTTTCAAGATTTTGTTTCTGCGAGCTTCAAGATGGTCTTGGTCCTGGGGTTGGAAACAGCTTGTGATTTTTCGCGCGGACGCGAGTGTGGAGAGGGAAAGGGCAGTCTGCCTCCCTGCATGCGCGTGCAGTCGGAGTGCGCCTCTTTGCTCAAGCCTCGCTCGAACAGTTTTGTGAGGGTGCTGCTAAAGCAGTGGTTCTGCCGGGTGGGCGTGTCCCCAGCGCCTGGGACCGTGAAGGTTAGGAATGAGAGGAGGCCCTACAGCCCCTCTGGCCGGTTTGGTACAGTAGTTGGCAGTGAATTGATCTGAGTGTCTCATGCAGGCGTTGCTTGAAGGAAACCAGGACAGGCTTGAACAGCATGGCTGGGTAGCCCGTTCCCTCAACCCGCAGCCCTGTGGGTAACTTCCTCTCCCCCCACCAGCTTGCTGTGGGCATGTGAGGCAAATACGAGCGCTGCCGGACGTACTGTATACTGTTCTTCAAGGAGGTGTTTATTCAAGCTCTTTGCATGACTGGAGTAAGAGCCTGTCTTGAAGGTTGCTACATGACTGAAAGGATTCCTCCTGTTGAAAGGATAACTTTTTCCTTTTCAAAAAAAGGAGAGTGATGCTCCAGTCGTTGTCATGGTGCAGGTACTTCGGTATCCTGAGTGTCCTGACATCTTTGCCCTGGTGATTGCATTAAATCATCACTGAATTGGAACTTGTGATCTCCGCACCCTAGAACAAATAAATTAGCTGGTAGCTCTGTGAAATCATCCCAGAACACAAAAACCTTAGAGGCTGCATTCATTAAGGCAGGAGTCTATCCCACTTTGAATGGTGTTGACTGTGCAAAGACATCACCTGATCTGTGGTAGGAACAGCTGTGGGTTGGGGTTTAAATGCTGGAGAGTGCACTTAATAAAATAGGACAGAACTGATCAGGGACTCTAGGTTTTTTCACAGGCTGCTTCGGGTTTAAAGAAAAAATGGTTTGGGCACTTTTCTACCAAAGGACACAGTATACTGTATGTGCTAACAATTCTAGGTCACTATTCCACTTTATTAGTGATCTTACAGATGTCTGTGTGCAGAAGAAGAAAAACAAAATCTCCAAGAATACAGGTTTGCGCACAAACTGTTAGAATTCAGTGGAGATGAAAGATTTTAGTAACGGGATGGCCAGCCCTCATCTGGGATAGTCTCAATCCAGCTGGCTGCCTTAAACTTCAATTTCTGCGCACTGGCAGCAGCCTGGTTTCAAGCAGTAATGTGGCTGCATAGGTAGGTGATTTCTTCATTAAACAGCAAACACTCGAAATGAAAATCCCAGCACACTGTAGCTCTTGAGGTTCGGCCATTCCCGATTTCATTGAACTATCACACTAATTTGTTCACGTGATCCAAGTGTTTAAAAATTGATGATTCAACGAGTCACCCTTCATGGCAGCTCGGGCCCGAGGTGGACACCCCTGCTTCCTGCAGCTGGGTAACTGTGATGGTCTTTGCCCTGGTCTCCCTATATACAAGCTTCAGGTGGTCTAAAACGTAGCTACTTGGCTTCTAATGCATTCAAGGCTCTTTTGCCACGTTACCCCAGTTCTGACGTCTTTGCTGGCTTCTCATTCCCCAGTGCCTTCACTTCAGAATCTTACTTTTAACATCCAAAGGCCAAATCCCTCTGGCATGTCCTTGGTGTCCATGTGCTGAGGCACATCCTACAGGTACGGTAATTAAAAGGAACAGTAGTACCTTCTTATACAGCAGTACAGGCGTCTTTGGCTGTGTGCTTTCAGCTCCCTTGATCCACAG